CAAATCTGCTAACAGGTGCAAAATAATTAGACAAAATTGAGACATCATATCGAGAAAAGTTAATAGATATTTGTCGTGCCCGTAGTTTACACGATGACATATCTGTCTTTAGATGACCATCGGAATTGATATCAGTTGAAAATTCCAACTGTATTACTGCACTAAAATACAGCAAAATATCCTTCTATTTTTTTTTTTGCTGTTGATGAAATATTATCAGGATTTATCATATGTGAAAAAAATTGTAAACTGTTTTTTAAAAATAAAAATTTATTTCCTTTAAATTTACCCCTCAACGCTGGTATTTGATCGTCCAATTAATTCTGCTTCACCATCTTTCACTTTGAATACAGAAGAAACTTTAGCTGCTAGTTGTGAGCCCTGCAGAAGCAGAGAATTTTTTGTTTTGAACTGATTATCAAACAAAAACTATTTATTGTTCTATTTGATAAAAATATTCAATAAAATTATGCAAACTATAAAATTCAACTAAACCTACAATCCAGGTTAAACCTTTCTGTGGTGTTAAGATTAGACGTGACTGTAATGTTGAAGCATCATAAGAAACCAAGTTTGATGAAATTAATTCAAGTGTTACCTGCAAATATTGTGGTAGTCAATCTATTTGGTCGATAATTTTAGGTAAACAAAACAGATGTTTTACACTTAATTTAGGTTTATTACATAGCTATTTAAAATGATATTTAGAAAAGTGAAAAAAAAAGAAAAAAGAAAAGTTATTAAAGAAACAAGCACAAACATCTTTATCTAATGTTGTTGTAAAGTTGACTGGAATTTCGGTATTTTCAGAAATCTTTTTTACTCGCTCTTTCAAATATTCTGCTAATAAATCTAAGCCATTTCGATTAATTCGTGTTACAAAACCCGCATTATTGCCTGATTCAGCAAAATTATCATCTGCAAAAGTTTCGAATGTTGACTGCGAGACAATAGCTGTCAAGTTTAAGTTTTAAAAACATAAATCCACCACTTGATAGTCTCCGTTTAGACGTTTTAAAGATGTTTAGCAAAAAATCTGACGACAATGTGTCGCATTTAGTAAACTTATTGTACCAGTTTCATTGTTTAACCCTTTAATGATTATTGATGCTCAAAACAAATTGTCAGTAAACTGTAAAAGTTTTGTTTTTTCTTGTGGTTATAAAGTAAGTTATATAGCAAAAAATTTTCGTTTTTAGATTTTCTTCTAGTACAAATGTGTTTCTTCCTATCACTTTCTGCAACCTATAGTACTGACCAGCAAAAAAAAACTATTAATCAGGCAAACAGCGAAGAAATGCCGTCATTTCAACCGGTTTATCCTGTTTTTCCTTTCGTATCTCTTGTTATCTTAGTTAGATTTTTGATAAGCTTTTTTTTAACTTGACATTGATGCAAATTCTCGAATTAGTTTTTGATCCCATAAACATCGCTTAATTCTTTTTTTTTTCTCCATTTAAACTACTTGCAAAGCAAAAAATAAAAAAATCAATAAACAGATGCTTTTTAGTACACTAAACACGTTTTTTTTCCACATTTCTGTATCAAAAATCTGTCTATAAAACACTAATTTTGCGCTTTTATTCTTCAAAAATAATTTTGACTCAGCAAAAAACACAGTTGTAATCAGTGATTACAGTAATATAAACTGTTTTAGCAAAATATACTCAGCAGTATCTTAGTTGGTGATATTACTAATACAGTAATAAGACAATAGAGAAAAAAACAACCTCTTTTTTCTCACCCCTTTTCTCAGTAATAAAAAGTATTATTAAAAACGTTTGTTTCTTTTTTTTTTCTTTTCCAACTAACTGAAATGTGCTCAAGCTACTGTAAATTGGCAAAACTTTTAAAAGTGCATATACATAAATAACAAAAATTTTAATCAAAGAATAAAACTTACTTGCTAAAGATTCAGAATAAACCAGATGATAAAACAGAACAGATGCAAATGTACACCTTAGCAGCAACAAATTAAGCATTTTTTTTTTTTTTTTAAGTGATATAGCGCTGTTATAACACAGCGATATTGGGTTGCAAAAGGCGGATAAAAGCCGTAGCAGAAATGCCAAAGGCGGCAAAAATAAATGTAATGACCACTTAACGTTCCGTTGTCGTCAAAGGATTCTCTGTTTCGAACAGAGAAGCAAACTGTTTGGATACAAATAAAACAATTTATATGTGTGATTGTCGTTTATCAAAATCTATCGACACCAACAATGACCACCACCAAAAATACACGCAAAAAAAATAAAAATAAAAAAAATAAAAAATACAATTTAATTTCCTGAAATTTAAATTATATTATTATTATCACTTGTTTTTTTTTGTTTCAAAGAAAAACGACGTTTTAATCAGTGCTACCATTTTACAGAAACTTTTTTTTTTTTTTTTTTTTTTTTTT